TCATCTCACGCTCACATAGCTTCATCTCACGCTCACATAGCTTCATCTCACGCTCACATAGCTTCATCTCACGCTCACATAGCTTCATCTCACGCTCACATAGCTTCATCTCACGCTCACAAAGCTTCATCTCACGCTCACATAGCTTCATCTCACGCTCACAAAGCTTCATCTCACGCTCACATAGCTTCATCTCACGCTCACATAGCTTCATCTCACGCTCACAAAGCTTCATCTCACGCTCACATAGCTTCATCTCACGCTCACATAGCTTCATCTCACGCTCACATAGCTTCATCTCACGCTCACATAGCTTCATCTCACGCTCACAAAGCTTCATCTCACGCTCACATAGCTTCATCTCACGCTCACAAAGCTTCATCTCACGCTCACATAGCTTCATCTCACGCTCACATAGCTTCATCTCACGCTCACATAGCTTCATCTCACGCTCACATAGCTTCATCTCACGCTCACAAAGCTTCATCTCACGCTCACATAGCTTCATCTCACGCTCACAAAGCTTCATCTCACGCTCACATAGCTTCATCTCACGCTCACATAGCTTCATCTCACGCTCACATAGCTTCATCTCACGCTCACATAGCTTCATCTCACGCTCACATAGCTTCATCTCACGCTCACATAGCTTCAAGCTCAAGTTATGAGCATAGAACTTATCTTACGTCAGCTGATTTTGGAGTACTTGCTTAGTGTTCTGGTCTGTTACTAATTACTAGCACTCACTAGGTACACTCACTAGGTACACTCACTAGGAGCACTCACTAGGTACACTCACTAGGTACACTCACTAGGTACACTCACTAGGTACACTCACTAGGTACACTCACTAGGTACACTCACTAGGAGCACTCACTAGGTACACTCACTAGGTACACTCACTAGGTACACTCACTAGGTACACTCACTAGGTACACTCACTAGGTACACTCACTAGGAACACTCACTAGGTACACTCACTAGGTACACTCACTAGGAGCACTCACTAGGTACACTCACTAGGTACACTCACTAGGTACACTCACTAGGTACACTCACTAGGTACACTCACTAGGAGCACTCACTAGGTACACTCACTAGGTACACTCACTAGGAGCACTCACTAGGAGCACTCACTAGGTACACTCACTAGGTACACTCACTAGGTACACTCACTAGGTACACTCACTAGGTACACTCACTAGGAGCACTCACTAGGTACACTCACTAGGTACACTCACTAGGTACACTCACTAGGTACACTCACTAGGTACACTCACTAGGTACACTCACTAGGTACACTCACTAGGAGCACTCACTAGGTACACTCACTAGGTACACTCACTAGGTACACTCACTAGGAGCACTCACTAGGTACACTCACTAGGTACACTCGCTAGGTACACTCACTAGGAGCACTCACTAGGCATCAGTAGACATAATGAAAGTCTAGGATACGTAAATGTTGTCAAAACTTACTTAATTAACACATGTGGTAATGTGTTAATTACCACATGTGGTTCTGTGGCTGCTAGCGCCCCACCTGGCGGCCACGACTGCTGGGTGTATTATGGGTCGGTCTTACGAGGTGCGGCCGTTGTGATTTTCCCGGTAACCATATTGACAAGTTATCTTGTGGTTGTGGGGGTCCACACCAGGCAGTGGGCACTCTGCTGGCAAGGGTCCACACCAGGCAGTGGGCACTTTGCTGGCAAGGTTCTACACCAGGCAGTGGGCACTCTGCTGGCAAGGGTCCACACCAGGCAGTGGGCACTCTGCTGGCAAGGTTCCACACCAGGCAGTGGGCACTCTGCTGGCAAGGTTCCACACCAGGCAGTGGGCACTCTGCTGGCAAGGTTCTGCATGTTATCATGGGGAAACCTTTTATGCCTCAACACTCAGACTTGTTGACAAAGGCTGAAGTCTTCCTGGCATGCACTGTAGCGCTTTACACATTAGGTTAAGGGGCCATCTCCCCCGAAATAAAAAGTTGTTGTAGGGTATTCATAATTTATTATCCTGATGCATGTGAAAGGTGCTGCACATAGGCCAAGTTTCAGCATCAAAAACGTATGCAACAAAATGAGGTGTATCATTATTTATAAAATCAATAAATCTACGTAGATAAGAATAATGACATGCGTTTATAGAGGCGTATTTTCTACATATAATGTGCAAGTTTCATGTAAATAGAATAATAAATAAAGGCTGTGAAATTTTATCTAGTATTAAAAGTTGGAGTTGCGTAGCGCGCTCTCAAAGTCTACTGAACCTGCGGTCACTCGTGAGTGGTGATTTACGCATTGCGGCCAGCTCGTATGGAGAGCTCGCATGCATCTAGCTGTCAATGCTTCTCTCTTGTTCGTTTGGTAAGTCATATTGCAGTACAAATAGCTAAAAATCCAAAAATAGCATGTTCTGAGAGATATTGTGTGAGCGCGTCAGCATACATCCTCTCTCCATGAGAGACACGCAGTCACTGACTGCACCACCCTCGTGTCAGACCATATGTTGTGTTGCCATATGGTTAGTTCAGATTCAGATTCAGATTCAGTTTATATACATTTTATGCATAACATGTTATTTTCAACGCTATTACGAAAATAAGACATCTACAACGTAAGATACAATACCCCGCGGCGTACTCACGGCGCGAGGACCAGATTCACGAAAGTTGCAGCGGGAAATTTGACTCTAATTACGTTATTTTTCAAGATATCATTAAACGGTTTGGACCACAGTGTTGCCAGAACGTTGTAGTATTTTTCGTAATTTTTCGTAAATATTCCATTTTTCATCGGACTTTCGGTGACATGGCCCTTTTAAGGCATGCAACCTTTGGTTGACGGTCCAACTTAGGTTTAGGAACTGTTAGGACAGACTATGTTAGTCATCACTCGCTGCAATAATTATTGGATGTCTGCTGTAAACATCGGTTGTGATATGTTACTGTATTTCCCCCATGTTGTGTTTAGGGGTGTTGTGTGTGTGTGTTGCCTGCGTGAGAGCGTCTGAGGGAGCACCACCACAAGGCAAGAGAAGGGAAATGTTCCACAACACTGTGATGGTACAACTTTATAATGTTGGTAACTAGTCATATAAATGTATCTAACTAAGGAAATTATTTAGCCAACTTTGGCATATAATTTTTACCTCATAAACAATGCATACAAAACTTCTTTCAATTGGTCCTTTCCTTAATGATTTTTTTTTTACAAATATGCGAGTCTCTGTAAGTCAATGAATTTTGAGAATTTTGTATAATTGTTGCAAATGACTTAATTGAAGTCACAAAAGAAGGAAAATGTATAATAAAGGTTATATTACTAGAGGTGGTAAATATATCAAGACAACACAGGAGGCGAGACAATGGGTACACATGGTATATAAGTTTATGTTCAGGAAAGTCCTGGGTAAATACTGGCTTGCGAAGACGGGTGTTGCTCATGGAAAAACTACTGTGTACTATTATCTCCTCCCCTCGCATACCACACCACCCCTACACTCCCCAAGCACCCCCCACACTCACCAAGCACCCCCCACACTCACCAAGCACCCCCCACACTCACCAAGCACACCCCCCCCACACTCACCAAGCACCCCCCACACTCACCAAGCACCCCCCACACTCACCAAGCACCCCCCACACTCACCAAGCACCCCCCCCCACACTCACCAAGCACCCCCCACACTCACCAAGCACCCCCCACACTCACCAAGCACCCCCCACACTCACCAAGCACCCCCCACACTCACCAAGCACCCCCCACACTCACCAAACACCCCCCACACTCACCAAGCACCCCCCACACTCACCAAGCACCCCCACACTCACCAAGCACCCCCCACACTCCCCAAGCACCCCCCACACTCACCAAGCACCCCCCACACTCACCAAGCACCCCCTACACTCCCCAAGCACCCCCCACACTCACCAAGCACCCCCCCACACTCACCAAGCACCCCCCCCCACACTCACCAAGCACCCCCCACACTCACCAAGCACCCCCCACACTCACCAAGCACCCCCCACACTCACCAAGCACCCCCCACACTCACCAAGCACCCCCTACACTCCCCAAGCACCCCCCACACTCACCAAGCACTTCCCCACCTCCCGACATTACAGTATAAATGTATCAGATCTGTCAGAATGCAGACAAGCAACAGACTATACAGGCTTTTGTAGTATACTGTAATGATCACTATCATTCATTATCCCAGAGGGACACAAGTAGGTGAAGATGATGATTATTGGTGTCATTATATGGACGAAAGTGTGTGTTGACGGGAGACGGACAGGTAGCCAACGTGTTTAGCTGACGGTCACCCCTGGCCTCTGTCTCTCACACCCTGCTACACCAGCACGGTGTAGCAGGGTGTGTGGACGGCCTGGTGTACGGCCAGTGTGGTGTAGCTGGCCTGGTGTACGGCCAGTGTGGTGTAGCTGGCCTGGTGTACGGCCAGTGTGGTGTAGCTGGCCTGGTGTACGGCCAGTGTGGTGTAGCCGGCCTGGTGTACGGCCAGTGTGGTGTAGCCGGCCTTGTGTACGGCCAGTGTGGTGTAGCCGGCCTGGTGTACGGCCAGTGTGGTGTAGCCGGCCTGGTGTACGGCCAGTGTGGTGTAGCCGGCCTGGTGTACGGCCAGTGTGGTGTAGCCGGCCTGGTGTACGGCCAGTGTGGTGTAGCCGGCCTGGTGTACGGCCAGTGTGGTGTAGCCGGCCTGGTGTACGGCCAGTGTGGTGTAGCCGGCCTGGTGTACGGCCAGTGTGGTGTAGCCGGCCTGGTGTACGGCCAGTGTGGTGTAGCCGGCCTTGTGTACGGCCAGTGTGGTGTAGCCGGCCTGGTGTACGGCCAGTGTGGTGTAGCCGGCCTTGTGTACGGCCAGTGTGGTGTAGCCGGCCTGGTGTACGGCCAGTGTGGTGTAGCTGGCCTGGTGTACGGCCAGCGTGGTGTAGCCGGCCTGGTGTACGGCCAGTGTGGTGTAGCCGGCCTGGTGTACGGCCAGTGTGGTGTAGCTGGCCTGGTGTACGGCCAGTGTGGTGTAGCCGGCCTTGTGTACGGCCAGTGTGGTGTAGCTGGCCTGGTGTACGGCCAGTGTGGTGTAGCTGGCCTGGTGTACGGCCAGTGTGGTGTAGCTGGCCTGGTGTACGGCCAGTGTGGTGTAGCCGGCCTGGTGTACGGCCAGTGTGGTGTAGCTGGCCTGGTGTACGGCCAGTGTGGTGTAGCCGGCCTGGTGTACGGCCAGTGTGGTGTAGCCGGCCTGGTGTACGGCCAGTGTGGTGTAGCCGGCCTGGTGTACGGCCAGTGTGGTGTAGCTGGCCTGGTGTACGGCCAGTGTGGTGTAGCCGGCCTGGTGTACGGCCAGTGTGGTGTAGCCGGCCTGGTGTACGGCCAGTGTGGTGTAGCCGGCCTGGTGTACGGCCAGTGTGGTGTAGCCGGCCTGGTGTACGGCCAGTGTGGTGTAGCCGGCCTTGTTTATATATATAATTTTTCTACCACAGACGTGGCCAGACATTTACAATGCTAAGCAGCATATATACATGTTCTTCTGTCCTCCATGGACAGGGTTAGAGAAGTGTTAAACATACAGTTCAAGGGTTCATTGAACAATCAACCACAGAAGGTGATTCGGTGCTTTTAAAATGCTAAGCTAACCTACATACGCAAATACATAGATACACAGATTTACGTATGTCCTACATAAAGTGTTTGATGTGTCTTTTACATAGTGTCATTAATGTGCATTTACAAAGGTGAAATGTAAATCTGATGCCCAACATGAGGCACCACATGCCCAACATGTGGCACCACATGCCCAACATGAGGCACCACATGCCCAACATGTGGCACCACATGCCCAACATGAGGCACCACATGCCCAACATGAGGCACCACATGCCCAACATGAGGCACCACATGCCCAACATGTGGCACCACATGCCCAACATGAGGCACCACATGCCCAACATGAGGCACCACATGCCCAACATGAGGCACCACATGCCCAACATGAGGCATCTCGTAGCTGCCATAACGAAAGGTTTTTATCAGGAGAAAGCGCTACGCCATTACGACTATATAGTACTTGGATGGAGTGAGGATAAGGATTAGGGATGGGACGGGTGTGAGGAATGTGCCCAACCACTTGGATGGTCGGGGATCGAACGGTGACCTGCAGTAAGCAAGACCGTCGCTCTACCGTCCAGTCCAACCTCAGCGACCATAAGTGCGCTAGCAATGATGGTCAGGAACAAATTCGACCAATGTCTTGACCTAAGACCAACGCTACTAGGGTGTGGCCCTGTAAGACTGCATTAAATGAAACCTGGAGATCAGTTTCCGCAGACTTGTTCGTGCATAACCAGGTTTTTTTCATGCACTTTAAACATTTCAAGAAAGACTGTAATGAATTATTCCTTAAAAAATTATTCATTCCGAATTTTGTAATTTTTTGGTGTATCTGCTTATTTTTGTGATGGAATATTTTTAGTGTTAATACCGTACAGAAACAAAAGACTATCTTGAATTTCATCCGTGCTGGACAGTGTATATACTTCAGAAAATACAACTACGTATGATTGCGCAATTTGTTTAAGCTGTAAATACTATGCCAGATTTATTTGAAAAACAAAACAAAACATTTGTTTGTAAATAATAAAGAAACTGGTCGTAAGACTCCATTTTTGTGGTGGTAAATGTGGTCACGTAACCAACCTGGGAAGAATGTGCGCGCGTACTGGAACACTCGGCGCCCTCAGTCGGCGCCAGACACCCATTCCGACTGCTCCTGTAAGCATCAAAGCTATATATATATACCGCTCAATTACTCCATCTTCAAATTGATTTGCTCATTGAAGAATTAGCAGAGACGGTAAAGGAATACCAGGTTGAGCGCAGCTGGAGAAGACAAGCAATGGATCCCACTGGAGACGGGTGAGTGAGAGAGACAGTGTCGCCACCGCCCGGCCAAACATCTCACTTCTGGGAAAATAATACCAAGGCCATTTTATGTTCTAATGGGCACATGTAATTAGTTTTCTTAGGCTCTAAATATGTAAAATCTACATATATATATATATATATATATATATATATATATATATATATATATATATATATATATATATATATATATATATATATATATATATATATGACAGTGTCAGACCACGGAGGAAAATTGAAACAGGAATTTCCTTAAGTACTTTCGTATATTAATACATCATTTTGAAGTTTGTCGTAACAAAGCACGTCGTACATATTATAATAATATATGCAGTGAAAGAATTCTCTCAAAGAATGTGTTATGTTTACCATATTTCTCTGGGTTTGAGAATATTGTCAAGGCCTTGAAACTTTTTAATATACATGTATTGTTTAGCTACGAAAATACTGTTGGTAAGCTATTAGTTAGGAACAGCCCTCGTAGTGATAATTGTGTCATTTATAAAATACCTTGTAAAGACTGTAATAAGTTCTATGTTGGGCAAACATCTAAAGATTTGAAATGTAGAATTTCGCAACATAAATACTCTGTAAGACATGGCCAATGGTCTAATGCTTTGTTCGTTCATCTGTCAGAAGATGCTCACCAAATTGATTGGGAGATGGCGTCTTCAATAACGAATTGTAAAAGCACCTATAACAGAAACATAATTGAATCTGCTTTGATACAGATCACAAAAGAAAGTAATTTGAACATTTGCAGTGGTTTATATAACTTAGATCCATTTTTAATAGATCAATTAAAGGGCGATTTAAGTAGGATCATTGGAACACATTTGTCTCACTAATTCATTGTAAATATTTACTATTTTATGCTATGATTATGCATGTGTGGGCCTGTGTGTGGTTATGTATGGGAGCTGCATCGGATGGGCCAATAGGCCGTCTGCAGTGTCCACGTATTGTACCTCACCTCACTCCACCATTCTCTCCTGCCTATTATGTCCAGTACTCGACCTGTAAAACCACTCCTTCTGAAGATGTATTAATATACGAAAGTACTTAAGGAAATTCCTGTTTCAATTTTCCTCCGTGGTCTGACACTGTCACATTTTTAATCACGTGTTTATTTTCGTGACATATATATATATATATATATATATATATATATATATATATATATATATATATATATATATATATATATATATATATATATATATATATATATATATATATATGGACTTTCTGTAGACAGTCTTTCCTGTAGACATATATTATTAAATATGACCGAAAAAGTAAGATTAATAATTCTAACACGAATTTTCTCGATCTTTCTTACGTTTCTTTTCACTGTTGATGGTAATTCAAAGATCAATTCTCCAAAATTCATTTTTATTTCTAGTCTGACTCGACACTTGAGCGCGTTTCGTAAAACTTATTACATTTTCAAAGACTTTAGTTTACAAACACACAACTGAAACTGAATAGAGCTTAAACATCTTCGATTTTATATCTACATTTGGGTGAGGTGGATGAGGTGAAAACAAACTTTCAACAATGGGTATTGAATGGGTATTAAATTCAAACACAAGACAACACGAAACAATGGGTATTGAATAGAGGTAATTGTAGAAAGCCTATTGGTCCATATTTCTTGATGCTTCTATATTGGAGCGGAGCCTTGAAGTGGGTAGAATATAGTTGTGCATTAATTGGCTGTTGAATGCTGGTGTTGACTTCTTGATGTGTAGTGCCTCGCAGACGTCAAGCCGCCTGCTGTCGCTGTATCTATCGATGATTTCTGTGTTGTTTGCTAAGATTTCTCTGGTGATGGTTTGTTTGTGGGTAGAGATTATATGTTCCTTAATGGAGCCCTGTTGCTTATGCATCGTTAAACGCCTGGAAAGAGATGTTGTTGTCTTGCCTATATACTGTTTTTTTTGAGGCTTACAGTCCCCAAGAGGGCATTTGAAGGCATAGACGACGTTGGTCTCTTTTAAAGCGTTCTGCTTTGTGTCTGGAGAGTTTCTCATGAGTAGGCTGGCCGTTTTTCTGGTTTTATAGTAAATCGTCAGTTGTATCCTCTGATTTTTGTCTGTAGGGATAACGTTTCTACTGACAATATCTTTCAGGACTCTTTCCTCCGTTTTATGGGCTGTGGAAAAGAAGTTCCTGTAAAATAGTCTAATAGGGGGTATAGGTGTTGTCTTAGTTGTCTCTTCAGAGGTTGCATGGCGTTTCACTTTCCTTCTTATGATGTCTTCCACGAAACCATTGGAGAAGCCGTTGTTGACTAGGACCTGCCTTACGCTACAGAGTTCTTCGTCGACTTGCTTCCATTCTGAGCTGTGGCTGAGGGCACGGTCGACATAAGCGTTAACAACACTCCTCTTGTACCTGTCCGGGCAGTCACTGTTGGCATTCAGGCACATTCCTATGTTCGTTTCCTTAAGAGTTAAACTTCAATAATCTGAGCGCTTCTGTGATTGGAGACATTGTGAAGGCCTACAGTAGAGAGAGTGGGTGCGGGATCCTCTGTGTATGCGCGGCACTATGGCCAAATTTGGACGTAATTTGAAATGAAATCGACTCAAAAAAGTGACGTTCTGTTCCGTTTTTTGTTTGAGTCGTCCGGCGTACGCGCAGAGGTTATAAGAGGACACTTTAAATTAACGTTTTTCATAACGTTTTGAAACTTTATGAGAATTTCCTGCCCACCTGACCTATCAGAGGACCCTTAACTTACTGTTGTTGAAAAAAAAAATCCCAAATTTATTTTCATTTTTTTTCATTTTCAAATTACGTCCAAATTCGGCCATACTGGCAAACGGCCAAAAGCGACGTTCTTTTTAAGAGGACAGGGGCCAGATTCACGAAGCAGTTATGCAAGTACTTACGAACGTGTACATCTTTCCTCAATCTTTGGCGGCTTTGGTTACATTTATTAAACAGTTTACAAGCATGAAAACTTCCCAATCATTTGTTGTTATTGTTATAAACAGCCTCCTAGGGCTTTGGAGCTCATTAACTGCTTAATAATTGTAAACTAAGCTGCCAAAGATTGAGAAAAGATGTACAGGTTCCTAAATGTTTCCGTAACTGCTTTGTGAATCTCTCCCCAGGTTGCTCTGCCCCACACCTCACTACTCTAAGGAACATGACTATAATATAACTGACATGATGACATTAGCCCAACCCAAACTTTGGGAGTGAGACATCTGCACCAATATGTATTCTGATAAATGTAGAGAATTACATAATATCTATGACAGTTCAGAAGCGCTATATATATTAGTGTTTTATAATTGATAAGATTTGTAATAATTATAAAATTATGTAAAGAAGGAATATAGGTGTAGGTGGATTACTTATTGTTAGTAGTGTGGGATGGTCTGTAACTTGCTGGTCTTATATTTTGTATTGTATTGTATTTTCTGTCTACTGTATTGTCTTTTTTGTCTACTGTATTGTGTTTTGTGTCTACTGTATTGTCTTTTTTGTCTACTGTATTGTGTTTTGTGTCTACTGTATTGTCTTTTTTGTCTACTGTATTGTGTTTTGTGTCTACTGTATTGTCTTTTTTGTCTACTGTATTGTGTTTTGTGTCTACTGTATTGTCTTTTGTGTCTACTGTATTGTCTTTTTTGTCTACTGTATTGTCTTTTGTGTCTACTGTATTGTCTTTTTTGTCTACTGTATTGTGTTTTGTGTCTACTGTATTGTCTTTTGTGTCTACTGTATTGTCTTTTTTGTCTACTGTATTGTCTTTTGTGTCTACTGTATTGTCTTTTTTGTCTACTGTATTGTGTTTTGTGTCTACTGTATTGTCTTTTGTGTCTACTGTATTGTCTTTTTTGTCTACTGTATTGTCTTTTGTGTCTACTGTATTGTCTTTTTTGTCTACTGTATTGTCTTTTGTGTCTACTGTATTGTCTTTTCTGTCTACTGTATTGTGTTTTGTCTACTATATTGTGTTTTCTGTCTACTGTATTGTGTTTTCTGTCTGCTGTATTGTGTTTTATGTCTACTGTATTGTCTTTTCTGTCTACTGCATTGACTTTTCTGTCTACTGTATTGTCTTTTCTGTCTACTGTATTGACTTTTCTGTCTACTGTATTGTCTTTTCTGTCTACTGCATTGACTTTTCTGTCTACTGTATTGTCTTTTCTGTCTACTGCATTGACTTTTCTGTCTACTGTATTGACTTTTCTGTCTACTGTATTGACTTTTCTGTCTACTGCATTCCCCAAAATGTGATTAATCCAGCCCATCGTGGTGTTAAGGGAGTACTTACAGTAAGGATGAGGACCATAGTATATGTACTGACCTACAACTCAACTAGAAAGTACAAATCGGTACTGTCGAATTTGGACAAACTGGAAAAGATTTTCAATTTACGTTACAAAGACTAACTATAATAACCTGAACTTAATAATCCTAATACACGATATGTGAGGCCTAATACTGACTCCTCTCTCTCTCTCTCTCTCTCTCTCTCTCTCTCTCTCTCTCTCTCTCTCTCTCTCTCTCTCTCTCTCTCTCTCTCTCTCTCTCTCTCTCTCTCTCTCTCTCTCTCTCTCTCTCTCTCTCTCTCTCTCTCTCTCTCTCTCTCTCTCTCTCTCTCTCTCTCTCTCTCTCTCTCTCTCTCTCTCTCTCTCTCTCTCCTCTCTCTCTCTCTCTCTCTCTATCTCTCTCTCTCTCTCTCTCTCTCTCTCTCTCTCTCTCTCTCTCTCTCTCTCTCTCTCTCTCTCTCTCTCTCTCTCTCTCTCTTCTTTCTCTCCTTTTCTCTCCCTTCCTTTGACCAAGCCTCGTAATGGTGGTCTGGTCAACCAGGCGACTGTTAAGCTGACAGTCTCACATATGAGTCACAGCCTGGTTGATCAGGTATTCTTTGGAGGCGTTATTAAGTTGTGTACCAGTGTGAAGATGGTGAGTTGTGTCCCCTTCATCTTCACACAATAGTCCAGTGCCCTACCTACTGCACCTCGGCTTTACAGCGGGGCCAGTATAATAGCACGTTATACGCATGTATAGCCAATATTGATCTTGGACTGTATTGATTAAAATATCATTATTTCTTCAGATTTCATAATTTTTTAAAATTACGATTAGTCCAATAAGCTTTAATTCATTGTCTAGCATCACCGAACTTTGTGAAATGGCGGCGGTGAGTAAGATGGCGGACTCTGTGAGTGATAACCCGGGGAGGAGGAGGAGGGGGAGTAGTAGTGATCAGAGATAACTGTAGCCACCACCACCACCGTCCTCCCACACACCGCTCCAGCGGCACACATTCTCACCATGGCAGAGTATCTTTAATGTCTCTACCTACACTCACTTCTCTCTATCATTGTTGTACCCAACACACTACTGCCATGAACATAATATTAAGTCTTGCTGTTTTTACACTATTGCTAGACAATGCGTATCTAAATCTCTCAAGTATGACACCAGGTACACCCACTGGTAGTATGACACCAGGTACACCCACCAGTAGTATGACACCAGGTACACCCACTGGTAGTATGACACCAGGTACACCCACCAGTAGTATGACACCAGGTATACCCACCAGTAGTATGACACCAGGTACACCCACCAGTAGTATGACACCAGGTATACCCACCAGTAGTATGACACCAGGTACACCCACCAGTAGTATGACACCAGGTACACCCACCAGTAGTATGACACCAAGTACACCCACCAGTAGTATGACACCAGGTACACCCACCAGTAGTATGACACCAGGTACACTCACCAGTAGTATGACACCAGGTACACTCACCAGTAGTATGACACCAGGTACACCCACCAGTAGTATGACACCAGGTACACTCACCAGTAGTATGACACCAGGTACACCCACCAGTAGTATGACACCAGGTACACCCACCAGTAGTATGACACCAGGTACACCCACCAGTAGTATGACACCAGGTACACTCACCAGTAGTATGACACCAGGTACACCCACCAGTAGTATGACACCAGGTACACCCACCAGTAGTATGACACCAGGTACACCCACCAGTAGTATGACACCAGGTACACCCACCAGTAGTATGACACCAAGTACACCCACCAGTAGTATGACACCAGGTACACCCACCAGTAGTATGACACCAGGTACACCCACCAGTAGTATGACACCAGGTACACCCACCAGTAGTATGACACCAGGTACACCCACCAGTAGTATGACACCAGGTACACCCACCAGTAGTATGACACCAGGTACACCCACCAGTAGTATGACACCAGGTACACCCACCAGTAGTATGACACCAGGTACACCCACCAGTAGTATGACACCAGGTACACCCACCAGTAGTATGACACCAGGTACACCCACCAGTAGTATGACACCAAGTACACCCACCAGTAGTATGACACCAGGTACACCCACCAGTAGTATGACACCAGGTACACCCACCAGTAGTATGACACCAGGTACACCCACCAGTAGTATGACACCAAGTACACCCACCAGTAGTATGACACCAGGTACACCCACCAGTAGTATGACACCAAGTACACCCACCAGTAGTATGACACCAGGTACACCCACCAGTAGTATGACACCAGGTACACCCACCAGTAGTATGACACCAGGTACACCCACCAGTAGTATGACACCAGGTACACCCACCAGTAGTATGACAGGAGGTACACCCACCAGTAGTATGACACCAGGTACACCTACCAGTAGTATGACACCAGGTACACCCACCAGTAGTATGACACCAGGTACACCCACCAGTAGTATGACACCAGGTACACCCACCAGTAGTATGACACCAGGTACACCCACCAGTAGTATGACACCAGGTACACCCACCAGTAGTATGACACCAGGTACACCCACCAGTAGTATGACACCAGGTACACCCACCAGTAGTATGACACCAGGTACACCCACCAGTAGTATGACACCAGGTACACCCACCAGTAGTATGACACCAGGTACACCCACCAGTAGTATGACACCAGGTACACCCACCAGTAGTATGACACCAGGTACACCCACCAGTAGTATGACACCAGGTACACCCACCAGTAGTATGACACCAGGTACACCCACCAGTAGTATGACACCAGGTACACCCACCAGTAGTATGACACCAGGTACACCCACCAGTAGTATGACACCAGGTACACCCACCAGTAGTATGACACCAGGTACACCCACCAGTAGTATGACACCAGGTACACCCACCAGTAGTATGACACCAGGTACACCCACCAGTAGTATGACACCAGGTCATACTACTGGTGCCTGGTCAGGTCAGACCAATATAAACTCTCGTAACCATTTTCTCCTATCCTGGCAGCTATGGTGATGTATAAAATATGTTGTTGAAGCTATATCTGGTGTATTCTCCAAGAGTGGTCGGGGACCTGTACTAACACTTCTCTCACCCGCAGGCGGCCCCAGGACGACTACCGCTCACCCAGCCCGGAGATTCAAAGCTTCTTCTCACCTGAACTTGATGGCGAACGTTTATACCAAGGCAACAATCATGTCCTAGGCTTGCCCTACAGGGAGAACAATCGTGTCCTAGGCTTGCCCTACAGGGAGAACAATCATGTCCTAGGCTTGCCCTACACGGAGGAAAATTATGTTTTAATCATTCCCTACATGGAGAACAGTTATGGCCAAGACATCCCCAGCACCGACAACGGTCATGGCCAAGACATCCCCTGCACCGACAACGGTCAAGGCCAAGACATCCCCAGCACCGACAACGGTCACGGCCAAGACATCCCCAGCACCGACAACGGTCAAGGCCAAGACATCCCCAGCACCGACAACGGTCAAGGCCAAGACATCCCCAGCACCGACAACGGTCAAGGCCAAGACATCCCCAGCACCGACAACGGTCAAGGCCAAGACATCCCCAGCACCGACAACGGTCAAGGCCAAGACATCCCCAGCACCGACAACGGTCAAGACCAAGACATCCCCAGCACCGACAACGGTCAAGACCAAGACATCCCCAGCACCGACAACGGTCAAGGCCAAGACATCCCCAGCACCGACAACGGTCAAGGCCAAGACATCCCCAGCACCGACAACGGTCAAGGCCAAGGTATCCGCAACATTACCCAAGACAATGTGTCGCTTACGGAGAGCTGTGATGGCCAGAGCCAGGCCCAGGCCCATGGTGAAGTCCCCCTCGGTGATGGTCCCAAGGGCAGCTCATCAGGCAGACAAGGAACCCGTAAAAGACCTTCCTCGGACGAGGGGAGTGACGGAAATACTTTCTACCATAGTCTTGAGGAGAGGAGCCAGGATAGTGGGGACGTGATGGTGCTCCTCAAGCGATCTCGGACGGCCAGCACTGAGGAGCACGTCTCCCCCTCTGGCCTCCGGGACCCCGGGGGCTCCTACATGCCTGGTGGTGACGGTGACCTGGAGGAACAAGAGACGTGTTAGAGGTGAAGAGCTGGCACTTAGTGCCCTGCACCAAGGTGGGAGAGCAACCTTTTCTTTCGTAACCTTGGCTCCGACGGTAATTATTATGACTGTATAACACTTCCTCACCCTACCTTTCTCTCCCTACCTTCCTCACCCTACCTTCCTCACCCTACCTTCCTCACCCTACCTTCCTCACCCTACCCTGGCCACCTGGTCTTCTCTGCACTCTCCTCACAAAGTCCGTTATTCTTATATTTTCTGCTTATGATTTATCCTCTTCAAAACATTCTCCCAGTTTGGTGTTCATAGCTCACTATGGCAAGGTGATCAGCCAGGCAACCCCTGAAGCCTGTGCAGCACAAGTTAGCTGCTCACAGAAGGGTTAGGAATGGAGGAGATAACCTCTTTTCCCGTAAAACAGAAAAATCAAACTCCTTTATCACATGCATTGAAGTATCCGATAAAACCGAAAACTGCAGGCGACTTCTGTCGGATATTGGCGTCAGCCGGAACATGCATTCACACCCAAGCTTCGCCAATTCCAGTCGTTCATGATTTGTTCTTCCTTCTGGTAGAAGTGTTGTAAGCGCAGCACCTCTAAGCGTAATGTATAGAAGACAATGAAGGGAGTATTGAGGCTACAGGATGCTCGCTCCACCTACACAACCTGAAGAAAGAAAAAATCATGAACAATTGGATTTTGCGAATCTTGGGTGAGGGGCACCCTACTGACGCTCTGCATCACTGTGTTCTACTTTATGCTAACACAAAGTTTATCGAAAATAAACTTTTCGTAACCAGCACAGGTTCGACTCTGTGACAGAAGTGGTCAGCTGGACCAGGTCTTGTGATGGACCTGGATTTAAAGTCTTCTTCCGTTTTGGCAGGACATTTTTGAGATACCATATTTAACCAGTTATGAAAGGTTGCTTGGTGGTAACTGGCTAGTTTTTTTAAAATTTAACTCCAAAAATATATTTAAAATATTTTTATAAAATATTCCTAGGGGTGGTAAAAGAAGAAAATATCAAAGTGTTCAGTGAGGATCCACAAGGTCTTCTCTGAGTAATCTTTATTTTCTTCTCCGAGGCTATGGAGAAGCCTCGGAGAAGAAACATATGCACCAGAGGTGGTACCCCGATATATTTGAAAAGAAAAAATATATAAAATATGTTAGATATAAACAACTTGCCTGGAGCCATACTATTAGAACTCAAGAAATAATTAAAGTGACTGAAAATTTTCAGGAATATATAATATAAAAGTGAATTATCAAGACCAGGAAACATTTTGTGGTCAAAAGTGGCGCCATCTATAGGACAAGGCTGGATGCATCTCTTGTAAGGGCTGGTGGTGAGGCTCGCATCACTACACACATTAACACTCTTTGCTGCTCTTCAGAATTCACTTTTGCATGATATTTTTCTGAAAAATGTCAGTTATAATTATGCGCTACTAGGCTCCACCATTACGGCTCTAGATGAGTTTTTCAAATATAATGTTTATAAATCAATTTTTGAAACTAAATTTTTGGACAAATTTGCCAGTTACCACCAAGCCTAACCTTTCATAACTGGTTAAATATGGTATCTCAAAAGTATCCTGCAAGAACCACTAAGGAAGAAGAAGACTTTAAATCCAGGTTCATCACAAGTACTGGTCTAGCTGACCACTACTATCACGGAGTCGAACCTGAGCTGGTGCACGCAAGGCATAGTGATGCGGTTTTATCTGATACTACAATGCATGTGATAAACCCCTTCTTAGATTGTACCTTGACGCGGTAGAAGGGCTCGTGTGCCTTGATGACTACGAGGTCTCAACCACCGGTGACAAGTTCAAGTTCAAGTATGTTTATTGAGATAAGCAATAAATACATCTCAAAGGGATAGAGTAGCTTAGGCTATTTCTACCCCCCGAACGACGCGTCACTGGCAGGGACTCCCATGGTGGGAAGGCTTCGCAGGAAAGGCCAGACTAAACAATCTAAACTATTATCATAATTGTACAACAATCTTAACTTATTATAATTGTAAAACTGAAAACCAATTAAGATTGGACTATGAAAAATTTCAACTTTACTATATTTGATTAGACTTCTGTAAACGTTCTAATATATATATATATATATATATATATATATATATATATATATATATATATATATATATATATATATATAAATTAAGTGTATTTGTACAATAGACTATTTATATAAACGTGTATACAAAGTACAAAAACAAAATAATGTACCTGACAGAAGTTTCTTAATGGTACTAAGGTATTGCATGAAAAGTACCAAATAGACGAGAGATAAGGTAATGTTACTCTCTACCACACTTCCCAGATTAGGTTACTATACGTGTATGTAATAATGTATATTTTTGTACCACTGTTTTCTTACAAAGAAAGTTACATAGGTGTGTTGCTACAGTAATGAGTGCCTATCTCCATTGTATCAATATAACTAATAAATTCATACAAAAAATTGCTTTTGAATAACCACAGTAAGATTAGTATGATAATGACCGCAAGTTAGAGGAATTCTTCCAGTCGTGTTATTGATGAAAGGAACAAACGCCCTTACACAGTGCTGGAGTTGATACTTGACCTGTGGTGGAGTAGTCTACCCCCAGACGTGCCTGTACCCCAGCTCCACCAGACGTGCCCGTGCCCCAGCTCCACCAGATGTGCCCGTGCCCAACACCAACCAACAGATGCTGAAAGACAAGTGCGCCTCTTTTTACTCACAAATTTCTTAATATCGGAGAGAGGAAGTTGTAACTGTGACTGTAGTCGACCGCTGACCCCTTCCCATCCCCCCCTCCCCTTCTCCCTTGTTCCCCTGCCCACCTGCCATAAACACCCCTATTGATTGATTTATTTACATACAAGAAGGTACATTGGGGTTAAGAGAGAACATGATGTTGATTTTACATTTCTTGTAAAGCCGCACGCATAGCGTTGCGGTACTTTTGGTATGGGGCCTCGTAGCCTGGTGGATAGCGCGCAGTACTCGTAATTCTGTGGCGCGGGTTCGATTCCCGCACGAGGCAGAAACAAATGGGCAAAGTTTCTTTCACCCTGAATGCCCCTGTTACCTAGCAGTAAATAGGTACCTGGGAGTTAGTCAGCTGTCACGGGCTGCTTCCTGGGGGTGGAGGCCTGGTCGAGGACCGGGCCGCGGGGACACTAAAGCCCCGAAATCATCTCAAGATAACCTCAAGATAACGGTACAAATGTTTACAGGTACTTTACAGCTTTACTTTACAAGGTACAGGTACAGATAATTTTAAGTAAAGAAATTACAGTAAAATTTACCAAAAAAATTTACAGGCACATTGTAAGAAATTTTGACACAAACAAAGATTAGAATAATACACAGTAATAACAATACGCTATCCTGGGCAGGGCGAGACAGCTAGGCGCGTCTCCTTGCACCCGTTGCTTCTGTTCACCTAGCAGTAATTAGGAACTTGGTTGTTAGTCGACCGTTGTGGGTCGCTTTCTGAGGAATGGTCAAATACTGTTAATATTCGAGAAAACTTCGAATTTCCCACAAAACATGGAAACCCAGACAAAAGTACTAAAGTACACAAGCAACTATAATGAACAAGGATTACTAGGTACATTAGGATTATATTTCAGGGTTATACATTTTTTTTTTGAGATATATACAAGAGTTGTTACATTCTTGTAGAGCCACTAGTACGCGTAGCGTTTCGGGCAGGTCCTTAATCCTATGGTCCCTGGAATAAGATCTCCGCCGCGAAGAATCGTTTATTCATCCAAGTACACATTTTACTCTTGAGTTAAACAGAGGCTACAGTTAAGGAATTGTGCCCAGTAAATCCTCCCCGGCCAGGATACGAACCCATGACATAGCGCTCGCGGAACGCCAGGCGAGTGTCTTACCACTACACCACGGAGACTATTTGATTTGATTCACTGATTTGTTCACTGAAGCACAATTTGAGGATCATTTCAAGGAATAATGCAGTAGATATGCAGTAAATATAACAACCATGATATCAGATGATATCTAAGATTACAATGGTAAAGTAATATGGCTTAGATACAAGTACTGGGGGAATTGGGTAGCACTAGATACAGTGGGAGTTAACGCACTAGGTAGGGAACCTTGGAGTCAAGTGTCCATCAGTTGCTGACACCGTCTCACGACTAGCATCCCCATCCCCCCCACAGGGAGCCGGTCGGCCGAGCGGACAGCACGCTAGACTTGTGATCCTGTGGTCCTGGGTTCGATCCCAGGCGCCGGCGAGAAACAATGGACAGAGTTTCTTTCACCCTATGCCCCTGTTACCTAGCAGTAAAATAGGTACCTGGGTGTTAGTCAGCTGTCACGGGCTGCTTCCTGGGGGTGGAGGCCTGGTCGAAGACCGGGCCGCGGGGACACTAAAAGCCCCGAAAACATCTCAAGATAACCTCAAGATAACCCCCTTTTGCCAACTTCCTGCTCATTCCAGCCCTCTCCCCCCCCCCCTCCCCCCTCCCGCTCCTAGTCCCGTTCCCGACCTGTGTCTCCATCTATGGTCATGACAAGTGAGAGCGATAAACCAGGAGGACCATAACCATACCCGTCTCGAATTACTTAGGCCTGTTTTACCAGAGGCTGGTATAGGTCTGGTGGGAACACCAGGCCTATTCACTGGTCAGCTGGTGTACAGCTCATTCTAGCCTACAGGGGTGAAACATACTCTTCCAGGCAGGTCAAGCCTGACTGGAAGGCTTGTTGGAGAACCAACGGTTCTCTCTACCACAGAGAGCAGGGCAGGGTACAGGCCGCTGAGTGACCGTAGACTTGTGTGGACGGAGTTAGTTCCCTACAGGTAGTGCCGAGGCACTCATTGCCTGGAAATCAGGGCCAGAGCCGAACTTTAAAATGACTGGTTGTGTACCTTGCGGGCAAGTAAGTAAGTAATTATCAAAAGAAGGCACCAAGCCGGGAAGGCTTTGTAGCACCATCAAATGTGCGGGATAATCAGAGGGCGCTAAATATCACCAACGATGCCAATACGAGAACAGAAACACATAAGGCGAACCATATCAAAACTATCCGATTCACCAAGGATTCTATTGACGGACAATTGACCGCGAGAGACGGTCGGAAAACAAGACACACGCTCGTCCTGGAAGTCAGGACATTTAACAAGAATATGCATGACTGTAGGAGGAACAATGCAATTTGGACAATAAGGAGCAGGGCGGCGCTCCATTAAGTGACCGTGAGTTGAATGTGTATGGCCAATACATAACCTAGCCAGAGCCGTTTCCCACCGCCGGTTACGGTGGCAGGAGGAAGGCCACAGGGACATGCGACCCTTAAGAGTACCCAATTTGTTACTAATAACAGAAAACCAACAACTCTGCCAACGGGCAAGGATGGAGGAATGATTAACTGGGTAAAAGTCAGAATACAGAATACCTTTACAGGAGATGGGACAAGTGCGGATAGCTTCCTTAGTGGCAGCATCCGCACACTCATTTAAAGATACCTCCTGACTCTAACTGCTGACTCTACTCCATAATACTAGACGCCACTAGCAGACTGTAATTCTTGACAGTCCTTGTGGCGTGTGGAGCGTCCACAGGGGGACACTTGAGCTCTCCTGAAGCACATTACTAACAGAGAAACCTAATAAACTCGTCCATTGAGCTTGAGTAAGCCGGATATATACTTATCTGAGGCCCTTGATGATAACATACCACAGAAAGATATCAGGGTGCATAACATATACATGTTTGCAGTCGCTAGCTTGTAGCATGCCACAGGCATGATCAATTACGCTCAAGATAGCACCAGAGATAACGCTATCTAGCGAGAGTGGTACAAAGCTCTTCACACAGGCTCCTGTTGTCGGGATCTGAGCTCAACACTGGTCCTGTTGTTGGGATCTGAGCTCAACACAGGTCCTGTTGTTGGGATCTGAGCTCAACACTGGCTCCTGTTGTTGGGATCTGAGCTCAACACAGCTCCTGTTGTTGGGATCTGAGCTCAACACAGCTCCTGTTGTTGGGATCTGAGCTCAACACAGGTCCTGTTGTCGGGATCTGAGCTCAACACTGGTCCTGTTGTTGGGATCTGAGCTCAACACTGGCTCCTGTTGTTGGGATCTGAGCTCAACACTGGCTCCTGTTGTTGGGATCTGAGCTCAACACTGGTCCTGTTGTTGGGATCTGAGCTCAACACTGGCTCCTGTTGTTGGGATCTGAGCTCAACACAGGTCCTGTTGTTGGGATCTGAGCTCAACACTGGTCCTGTTGTTGGGATCTGAGCTCAACACTGGCTCCTGTTGTTGGGATGTGAGCTCAACACTGGTCCTGTTGTTGGGATCTGAGCTCAACACTGGCTCCTGTTGTTGGGATCTGAGCTCAACACAGCTCCTGTTGTTGGGATCTGAGCTCAACACAGCTCCTGTTGTCGGGATCTGAGCTCAACACAGCTCCTGTTGTTGGGATCTGAGCTCAACACAGCTCCTGTTGTTGGGATCTGAGCTCAACACTGGTCCTGTTGTTGGGATCTGAGCTCAACACAGCTCCTGTTGTTGGGATCTGAGCTCAACACAGCTCCTGTTGTTGGGATCTGAGCTCAACACTGGTCCTGTTGTTGGGATCTGAGCTCAACACAGGTCCTGTTGTTGGGATCTGAGCTCAACACTGGCTCCTGTTGTCGGGATCTGAGCTCAACACTGGTCCTGTTGTTGGGATCTGAGCTCAACACAGGTCCTGTTGTTGGGATCTGAGCTCAACACTGGCTCCTGTTGTTGGGATCGTTTTTAGATATTTCTGTTTATGGATGCTTGCGTCTTTGGTCTTACTGTTAAAGGAATGTGCATTTATTTGGAGCGAGGCCAAGCTCCCGGTCCCCGCCTCTTGACTGTGTGGTGTATGAGGAACAAATTATTAGTGTTGTACTAAAGGTCAAACACTGCGGGTGTGTTACAAGACGACACACAGTGTGGGAGTGTTGCTGCAACACTCCTCCCAGTGTAAACACAGCCCACACACTACTCTCTCTCTCTCTCTCTCTCTCTCTCTCTCTCTCTCTCTCTCTCTCTCTCTCTCTCTCTCTCTCTCTCTCTCTCTCTCTCTCTCTCTCTCTCTCTC